TGCTCGGGTTGGGCGGAGGTTCGTCCGGTCGACGCCCATCTCGTCGAGCGTCTTGGCGTACATGATGTTAAGGCCGCTGCCTCCGTCCATTAGTACTTTGGTGAGCCACTTTGGGCCGACGATCGGGTCAACGACAAGCGGATACCTCCCTGGGTGTGGGACGGTATCCGGATGGTCGGTCCGGTCGAAGGTTATGGCGGACTCCGACCACCGAAGGAAGGGAGGTGTGGCCGGTTGGGCCGTGTAGACCTCACGGCGCGTGACCTTCTGACGACGTTTGGAGTCTTAGGCCATCGACCCTCTGAAGATCATAAGGTAGCCGTTCGGCATCGGAAAGCCATCGTCCTTCTCCTCGGTATCGTCGGCAGCGGGGGCATGTTCCTTCCCCTGCTCCCCTTTGTTGGCGCTTCTGGCCAAGAACTTTCGCATGAGGCCGTAGTCCTTGAGCAGATGTTTTATAGGAAAGGCGTGGTTCGGGCACAGCCCTTCGAGCATGTTTTTGAAGTGATTCGGAGTGCCCTCCGTAGGCTTCCGACCACCCTTGAGGTCAGTAGCGACCACGAGCGAGTCATCACGCCGTTGCTTCTTATTCTTCCTTTTGGCGGAATGGTTGGAGGTGCCTTCGCTGGCGCCCTCGTCCCACCTTGCCTTGCCGTCGAAACGGTCGAAGATTTCTCCGACTGCCTCTTCTCCTAAGGCGTGGCTCGTGGCGATGTCCAGGATCTCCTTGGTGGTCCGTGGGCCCTTGCGTCCCAGCTTGTGAACCAAAGACTCGCAGGTTGTCCCGGACAGGAAGGCTCCTATCACGTCGGCGTCGGCGACGTTAGGGAGCTCGTTGCACTGTCGGGGAAAGCGCCGGATGTACCCGCAGAGGGTTTCACCAGCCTTCTGGCGATAGTTCTTGAGGTCCTAGGGGTTCCCAGGACGCTTGTACGTGCCCTGGAATTTCCCCACAAAGATCTCCCTTAGGTCCGCCCAACCTTGGATGGCGTCGGACGGAAGGTGTTCCAACCATGCTCGTGCCGAATCGGCGAGGAACAGTGGAAGGTTGCGGATAATGAAGTCATCATTATCCGCACCACCGGCTTGATAGGCAAGCCAATAGTCTTCAAGCCAAAGCTCGGGGTTTGTCTCCCTAGAGTACTTAGGGATGTTGGTAGGTGGTCGATACCTTGGCGGGAACACAGCGTTGAGGATGTGTCGGCTGAAGGCCTGAGGGCCTGGTAGGTCGGGGCTCGGGGTTCGGTCCTCGCCGCTGTCGTAGCGTCCGCTGTGTTGAGGATGATAGCTGCGGCGGGCTCCTTCCCTTGGGTCACCGTAGGTGTGCCTGCGGGCGTCGATGGAGCTGCATGCCTCGTGGTCGCGGCCGAGCCACTGATGTATCTGGGTCGCAACGCGCTGCCCGCCGCCTTGTGGTGCGTGGTGGACTGAGGCGTCCCTGGCGGGACGTACTGAGGGCGTACGCTGGCTGGTGTTGAGCTCGCGTCATCGAGACAACGAGCTTTCGCCTGCTGCGCCGCTGTACGCTCGAGCAGCGTGCGGATTTCGCGGTGGGCCCAGCGATCCTTGGGCATTGTGGCCTCTAGAAGGCCATTGAGCAAGGCCGTGGTGGCGGCGATGTTCTGGCTCGCCCGAGCGAAGCGAGGAAGGGTTTCATCGTCGGCGATGATCCTTCAGTTCACGTCGTGGGCTACGGCGCGTGCGTGCCCCCCATCTCCGCGGCGTTTGATCTCCCGATCCACCAACGCGTATTCCCGAACCAGCTGGTGTCCGGCCTCGTTGATCTCCCGTTTTCGGGCTTTTAGCTGCTCCACCCCTACGTGGGGCGGGGCCACCGTTCTTCCTTCGGCTCTGTCGCCGAGGTTGCCCGCCGGGGTGACCTCCTTCTCGGAGGCGCTTTCGACGTGTCCCTCGGAGGTTTTAGCCATGAAGCATTCCTGGGAGGGATGATGGCTCCCCCTGCCGGAGTCAAAGCCAGAGTCTGACCCCGGACCTTCCGCGAGGAGGCCATGCAGGGATTTTGTGACGCTTTCGATCATCCCCACGAACTCATTGTTTGCGGGGAACGGGATCGCGTGCTGGGCCACAAGGTGGCTTACGGTCGTCGTAGCGTTGCAGAGACCGAATGGAAATGTCGTCGAGGCGCTCCGTGTGGAGCATTCCAGAGAGAGGGTGAGTCGGCGTGGGGCCTCAAGCCTCCGATAGCCGGAGCCGATGGGGGGAGAGGTTGGATGGTGAGATGGGCCAACGCCAACTCTCCTCCCACCGTGACGATGAAGTTCAGGTCACCGAAATGCATGTGTGCGCCCGAGGCCTAGCTGATTGCGTGGTTAGCCATCCGAGGCCTGACTTGGAACGCGCAAAGGCCCCTACCTGGTGCGCCAACTGTCGGTGTTTCGAACAAACACCGGCTAGTAAATTTATAATTGATGCGCGTTAGGCCCGGATGGTGCACTAAAGGACACGAGGTTTATACTGGTTCGGGTCGAACGTCCCTACGTCCAGTCTGCTGCTGCTCGTGTTATTAGTTCTGAAAAAGGTTCGTAGTAGGGGGTACAAATGGTCGAGAGAGGGACGGGTCCCAAGTCTCTAATGGAATGGTTGAAAGGGTCACCGAGAGCTTGGTCGCTGCTCAGCTATGTGTGAAGTGTCGTGTGTGTTGAACTTATCCGTCAAGAGTCGATCCCCTTAGTGGGGGCCCCTGCCCTCCCTTTTATAGAGCAAGGGGGGAGCAGGGGTTACAGATCGGAGAAAAGAGAAAAGCCAGAGGCCAAGAAGCCCCTCCGAAGGTGTTGGGTCCTCCTTTCCCGCTGAGCCAGCCTCGCTGACATGGCCAGACGGTGTCAGGGATTGACACGTTCGCCGGATGCCTGTGTGCTGACGACACCATGCCTTTACCGGATCAACAAGTGGTCACGTCCCGTCCCGCCCCTCCGGGCGGCGTGTCGGACAAGGGTGTTGACCTATAGCCCATGGGGAGCGGACGGCGCGGTGACTGTATGTTCGTCACTATAGAGGGCGCGAGTCTCTTCTTGGACCGTAGTGGTTGTCGTATGTCTAAGTCAGGTTCCGTGTCCGAGGGCTGAAGGCGGTGCCTACAACACTATTCGGACTCCGCCATACCCGCAATGGTCTAAAACGCCCATCCTGTCGTACCCTGGCGATACTTTCCTGCCGCGGTGCAGGGCATGGTCCTTGGTGCTGCGTTTGACTTGAATGTCATGTCGTACCCTGTGCTCATCATTGTGAAGGCGTAGGGTGTACTCGTCGGGCGAGGCGAAGTCTGCCCTCGGCCGTCGGGCGAGGCGGAGCCCGCCCTCGGACGTCGCGCGAGGCGGAGCCCGCCCTCGGACGTCGGGCGAGGCGGAGCTTAGCCATCGGGGGTCGGGCGAGGCGGAGCCTAGCCCTCGGGGGTCGGGCGAGGCGGAACCAGTCTTCCGTCGTTCGGATAAGAAACACAGTAGCGTTCCCGTCAGATCGGAAGTGTCAACGTTCGATGGTCATTAGTTCCACCTCATTAGGTACCCCGGTATTAGGTCCCCGACAGCGTGAGAATGTCTTCTTCTTAATGCAATGCTTGAGGGTGGTCATACCCTCGCAAATCCAGTTTTTTTACTATTTCCTAAGGCATACATGAAGCTACTATCTTAATTGCAAAACAAAGTCGACAGGAACCTAAGTTGGAATGCTTCATTGGAGGGCTGTGCGATGGTATTGGGCCCGTGATTTCTAGGGACCCCCAAAACTACAAGCCATCACGTAATATATAAAATATATTTAATATCTTGTGCCGACTCTTTCGGTGTGGAGTCCATGATAAGGTGTAAGAATCATGTGCCATGATCTTTCTTTTTCGTTTTGGTGATTTAGATGAAATATCGCAAAGTCTAACGCGCTACCCGTCGCGCTTTCTAAGGCCCGAGCCGACCGGACACCCAAACATAACGGCTCGGCCCAGCAGACCGTGCCCCCTCCCTCCATCCAACCCACAAGGAATTTGCTCGTCGGCCGTCCCCGAGGCACCGACGCCGAGCTTGTTCCAGGCGAGCGACCCACCCACCCCGTGCTTGTCGTCACCATGTGCTACCACCACCACCACGCTGCGCACGGCCGCCGATCATCCTTGCGCCCGTCGGCCACCAGCCTGCTTCTTGCCGTGCTCGGATCCAGACCGCCGTGTCGTGGCGAGACATGCAGCGCCGCAGGTGGTCGAGGTCGCCACCTTCCAGCTCGCCTCCACCTCGTCCTCACCGCCCTCCAGCTCGCCTCGGCCGGCCGTATCGGTGCCTCCGTGCGCGGGTTTGCCGCGCTGCGCCGCCATGCCCGCACCAAGAGGTCCCATTCGCAGTGGGAATTGCTGTGTTATTATTTGGCCTTCCAACTGAATCATCTAAGACAGGTCTTTGTTCGTCCCATCTCTCAACTTCTGCGCCAGCTTCAGTATCAACATCCATATAGTCAACTGAATCAATACATGAAGCAGGCACCTCGCATTGCTCTGCAAAGGAATGTTCTGAAGATGCTTCACTTTGTGGATTTGCCAAATTGCACAGAGCTTATCCTAATAGGACCAGACGACCCACGCGCCTTGATCTGTGCTGGTATACGCTGTAGTCTGCAGGATTTCATTTGAAAATTGAAATTTCGTAGCATGTAGCAAGTTACATAAAAATGAAATTTTCATTTCAGTCCTATTGTTGTGGCAAGTTACTCAATTGCTATTGGCATTACCTTGCGTTATGATTTGAGAGCTCTATTTTAGTTTTCATTTTGTCTTCTTTAATTTTTAGTTATTATTTGTCAATTTCATTTCCATTATTTTTGTTGTCACTTTTTGTCAATCAATGGTTTTCCAATGTGTATTCTATATCTCTTGATATATTCATTGCAATTCTGGTAAATTAGTGAGTCCTGTCAACCAGCTTGTAGTGAGACCTGAAATCTGATCATAGCCAATTCAATTTTGACTCATTTGCTCTTTCCACTATTAAGTGTGAGCAATGAAGGTATAACTAGGTCTGAATAGGTTCTTTTCTTTTGATGAACTACATTTTTCGTTTTACTTGTTATCTGTATTGGATGCTTTTAGTTATTTGTGTCAGGTTACACCATTGAATTCTTGTGCAAGGATAGGATTTTCACCAACTTAGTTAGCCGTTGTTTCCATATTATTGTGATGATGTTTAACTGAGCTGTCTGTAATAAGATAGTGCAGTTTGAACTTTTAACTGATTCCCATCTTTATTTCTTTGCCAGACTGATTGGGAAGGTGGATACTTCCCTCTAACACTTCATTTCAGTGAGGATTACCCCAGCAAGCCTCCCAAGTGCAAGTTCCCTCAGGGTTTCTTCCTCCCAAATGTCTATCCTTCGAGAATAGTCTGCCTTTCAATCCTTAACGAGGACAGCGTAAGCTTTGCAATCATTTTCGTAGCCCTGTGTGATGCTATACTGATTTCATGGCCTTACTGTTCCAAAAAAAAAAATCTGTCAGGGTTGGAGACCAGCTATTACTGTTATGCAGGTTTTCATCGGTATCCAGGACTTGCTAGATCAGCCAAATCCTGCTGACCCTGCTCAAACAGATGGCTATCACCTTTTTATCCAGGTTAGTCAAAATTGATGGACCACAACAAAGATATTGTTTGCCCAAAACCTTACTCCTTAGTTTTGAAGTTCAGATAGCCAATCACGTTTGTAACATTTTATTTGGCTTTGCAGGATCCTACAGAATATAAGAGGCGTGTTAGACTGCAAGCGAAGCAGTATCCGGCATTGGTCTGAGAACTTCGCCCTATTTTATTGTGATTTCAGTTCCAAATTTCAGTTTTTATTTTTAGTTTTTAATTTCAGTTATTAATTTCGTTTTGTAATTTCAGTTTTTATTGGTCCGAGCTCCTCCTGCCTCCGTGGCTGCGCCGCCGGCCGCCAGTGTTCCGTGGCCGCGCCGCCCGCCGCCGGAGCATGCAGACCGCCATGGCTCGCCGCGGGAGCTCGCAGGACCTCCGTCGCAGGACCGTGAGACCTCCATGCGCGCCCGCCCCAGCCATGGCCGAGCCTCCAGCCGCCCACCGAAGCTCGCCCCGCTTATGTATTCTATACACATGGGTGTGCGCATGGTGAACCCGAGCCTGACCTTCGCAGCTCGATGTGCGCCTGATACTGAAAAGGATTTTTGGGCACTGAGAGGGATTTCCCATGGCACGAGTAGCAGATTGGAGAGGCTACTATTCTGATCTGCTAAAATCAGTTCAGTATATTTAAGTATCATCCAGTATATCGGAGCTCTTGATGGTTTTCGTCTTCGATCATGTGCTCTAATTGCTGTAACTTTAGTTCAGCATTGATTGATTCAGTCGTGCACACTACCGCATCTTTGTTTGCAGTGCTGATGCATCTCTTGTAAAATTCTGAATGTAATGTCTTTGCCATCCTGATCGGGGAAAAACATGGTGATGAATTGGGGAAGATTGGAGGTTCAAATGTGTTTCGTAATTGGTAGTCTTTTTTTTCATTGTTTCTTTGTTTCATTTTTCAGTCATGTTTTTTTTAGTTTCAGATTTTGGTCACATTTTTAGGTTCGAATATCTTCCTAAATCCTGCATATTAGTTGTTTCACTTGCAATGTATAAGAATTTGCCTCCATGTTTCAGTTTTCAGTCTTGTTTTTTTCAATTTTTTTATTAATTTCAGTTTTCAGTCATGTTTTTTTTTAGTTTCAGTTCTCGATCACCTTTTTAGGTTTGAATGCACTCCTAAATTCTATATATTAGTTGTATAATAACTTATTTTATTTTTTTCTCAATTATTTGTTTTATTTTCTGGTTGTTAATTTCTTTTTTAGTCACTGCTAATTTCAGTTTTCAGTTTTAGTTTTTTTTTTACTGTTTTGTACTATTGAGCCACTTGTGATGAGATATATGAAATAAGACTATGATCCATGTGTTTCAAAATAGTTTGTATATACTAGCAACTTATGTTATATATGTAGTAGCTATTTATGTATTAAGAGTGTAGCAACCTATATATTAACATTCCAACAAATTATACATACTAGCAAACATGTAGCAACCTATGTATTAAGCGTGTAGCAACTTATTTGCCAGTTTCAGTTTTCATTATTTGTTGTCACTTTCAATTTAAATTTAGTTTTTTAGTGTTTTTTAGTTTCAGTTTGTAGTCTTTTTTTTTAATTTTTTAGTATCAGTTTTCAATCACCCTTTTAGGTTCGAAAATACCTTCCTAGATCCTGCATATTATTTGCCTCACCTACAATGTGTAAGTTGCATATTTTTAGGTTTTCATTCTTTTTTCAATGTTCTTTTAGTTTCAGTTTTCCGTCTTGTTTTTTTTTTTTTTATTTTTTTATTTCAGTTTTCATTCACCTTTTAGGTTCGAATGCCTTCCAAAATCCTGCATATTAGTTGCCTCACCTACAATATATGAGTTGTCACAAAAGAGTAACCATTGCACACATAAGTTGCCACAAATTATGTCATCTATTAGTTTGCACCAAGTCATGTTTCCTGATTTTGTAATAAATGCCCCCAGTTGGTAGCAAGTCATGTTTGCTGGATTTTGTGGTTGTCAATTTCAGTTTTTTTTTTGTAATTTTAGTTTTAGTGTTATTTTTCTTTTTTTCATTGTGTCTACTTTAGTTTTCAGTTTCTATTTGTCAATTTCAGTTAATTTTTTTGTTTGTCAATTTTAGTTTCAGTTCACAGCAAGTCATGTTTTCTGAATTTTGTAATAAATGCCCCATTTGGCAGCGAGTCTTGTTTTCTAGCTTTTTTTCATTTTTTTACTTTAGTTTTTTGTTTTTTTTATTTGGGTTTTATTTTCTGGTAATTTCAGTTTTAGAGTTGTTAATTTCAGTTAGTTTCTGGTTATTCTTTTTTCAGTTTTATGTTTCATTTCTACATTCATGTGTTTTAGTGTTGAGAGGAGCAACCAATCTGCGGGAAGGAGCAAATCGGTGGAGAGGAGGAGCATATTTGGATCGATGGAGTGGGGGTCTAGTTTTGTTCACCTCGTCACGTAGAACACAGCGGTGCTGACAGAATTGAAAACGGAAACAAAATTCGAAAGTTATACCAATTGAAAGAAAAATGTTTTGGTTTTTGGTTTACTGTCAGCCTGACGTCAGGCTGGTCGGAACGGCATGGGGCTGGGGTCACGCACGAGTGGGTAGCGGCGTGGGGCTGGGGTTGCCGTCAGGCTGGTCGAAACGGCATTGGGCTGGGGTCACGCACGAGTGGTTCAATGGCTCAATGAAAGCAAAAATGATTTAGTGCACAGAAGATGCACTCAATGACTAAATGACAAAATGCCTCAGCAAAATCGGGTTTATGGTTTGAGTGACTAAGTGGCTAAATGATCGAGTGGTTCAATGGCTCAATGACTAAATGCCTAAGTGGTTAAACGACTGAGTGGCCAAGTGGATCATTCCCTGAGTGCCTTATTGGCTGAGTCGATGGAGTGACAAAGTGGCAGAGTGATTGAGAGGTCGACTGAGTTGTAGAGTGGCAGAGTGACTGAACTGATGTAACACCCTCGGTGTTACACCATAAATCATCTACTAAAACATATCATGAGCATTATATTTATGTGTTAATGCATGTAATAGAGTGTGTAGATCAATTTCTGTAACTCGAAACGATCAACAAAAATGTGAAACAAAAGTTGATTCGATAGTCATGTTATATCACTTAAGATTTAAAACCAAATTTTATTAAGCAAAAATATTATAAAATATGTATGTGATACTTAAATAAAGTTTGAAGTATAACTTTATAGATGATAATGAAATACTTACGGTCGAAAAATAATATTACTAGCTAAAATTTCCACTACCTTAGAAATAGCAAATGGAAAACAAATCCAGCTAAAAAACTTAGAAATTTTCAAGTCTGCCGACTGCTTGACATTGCTATGTTTAGCAATTTATTGTGAGAGATTGGATTAAAGGGTGGTGTAGTGTTATAGCTCGATTTGGTAGTGTCATGTGCCATCTTGAGCATGGTGAAGACGGTTTAAGTTTAGAAGTAACCGTTTGATCGTGTTGAACGCTTTAAAATTCGTGCACGGCACTTGTTTCGGTTGCCTGGACGTGTGGGTGCGATCACCGTCGCGCGGAGCCTCGGCGTCGCTGAGCTCGGCCGCGCGCACGCTGCCACGCTTGGCTGGCCTCGGTTGCCCCATCCTGGCCGCCTTAGCTCGGTAGTGTGGGGCTGTTGCTGCTGTCGCTTGCGACGTCGGGCGTGAGCTGCCTGCTCGCCGTGCTGCCCCGCTGTGTGGCCGCCCGTGCCACGGCGGAGCCACGCCGTTGTCGTTACCTCGTCGTCGCGATTCGTGCAATCCTGCACTGCCTTCTCACTGCCACGCTGTGTTGCGGTTGCTCGCTTGCCCCGGCGTGCACGTGGGATGCCTCGGCCGCGCTCGCGCCATCGCCTCACCTTAATGGCGCTACAGCCGCACAGGCCACACCATGGCAGTTTGTCCCACACACGCACGTGGTCCGGTCGTGTGTCGCGCAGCTCGGGCGCAGGCACAGCCGCATGTCCGGCCGACCGCTTGCCGCCAAGGATAGGCGAGCGGTGCCCTGCTACACCATCTCTCTTCCTCTTCCTCTGTTCTCGCCACTGCATCACGCCCACATGTGAGCCAGTAGGCGGTCACCTTTCAGCAATTACTGGCGCCTGCACTTTCGCCCTCCCGTCTTATCACCAACCGAACCCGCACAGCCATAATGGCAGTCCGGCCAGGCCCCAATTTGGCGTTTTACCTCTGGCGTGCCGTGAAGGCCGCATCCTGGCCATGACCGAGGTCATGCCTCAATTACTCCACCCGCGTCCAATTGCTTGCGCCACAGCACTCGCACTACTTCCCTCCTCAACCTGCACACTTCTGTTCAACCACTACCGCCCTCACTTCGTCGCTGATGCGTCCGTGCCACCGCAGAGCGCCGTCGGAAGGCACTGTCGCACGTGACCAGCCCTGCTCGGGGCATCTTTGGCCAAACCATCTCCACGGGCAGGCTTGTGGTGAGTCACTGGTACTCACCCGCTGTCTCTACCATTTCTGTAAGGCCGTAGCTCACCGAAACTTGGCTATCGCTAGCGTAGGGTGCTCGTCGTCGTGGAGAGGCCATATTACTGTGTCCTGGCTCATCCAACCGCTGCCCGAAGTTGCGCGTCATCCTATAGGTGGGGGTCGGCCTCCTAGGTGAGTCAGAGGGGCCCCCGGTTGCCCAGCATGGCGGTCCCATGCCAGCCGACGCGACGCCGGCGAGCGCGGTGGTGTTGGGGACTGGCCTTTAAAGATGATTGGGGGCGAGGACCTTTTGGCAAAGGACCCGACTGTAGGAATACTGTGCATAAGAGCGGCGTTAATACTTGGAAGAGCAAGGGTGCTTTTTCAAAAGTGCCATGTGCGTGGACTCCTTTCTGTCGTGGGCCGGCCTGTGTGCGTGGGCTGCACGTGTGGGCCACGTTCGCGTGGTGGTGGGCCGCGCGGGTGGAATTCGTTTTTCCTTTTCTTAAGGAATTAGAAATAGCTTTTCATTTATATTTCTGAGCTGAACTTTGGTAAATCATATAAAATCATGTAAGTATCCAAAAATTGAGAAACCAATTTTGTTAAGTGGTGGGTTGGTCCTATTTGAGCCTAGGGTACAAGCGGGGCGTGTGTTTCGAGGTACCAAGCTGGGCTACATTGGTTCGCAAATTGCCGTGTAATACGGCACGACTTATCTATGATCTAGCACCGTAGTAAGAACTGGAAGATGAAAGATGATGAAATAGATCTGATTGCTGAACTCTTGCTTGAAGGTAGAACTTGTGCTTACATAGAACGGTTAGCTAATGAACTAATCATGACTGCTAATAAAATGCATATATAAGGATTCACTACTAGTATTGCTTTTTTGAAAAAGGAAACCCAGCAAACCATAAAGCTTATCATATCCTTTGGAGTCAGGAAATTATTCTCACTAGTCAGGTAAGTCTTGTGAGTACATTGTGTACTCAGGGTTTATTTACCCCTGTTATAGGTGCAACTTGAAGAATGGCTGTTGTGTGGAGGATTCTTCTAGTGGGCACAGACGAATCCTTGTATCTTATCATTAGATGTTTATTTCAATTCCGCTGTTTAAATTCCGCACTCTGAACTTGGTATTGTAATAATGTATTTTTAAGAACTCTTGTTGTATGAAAGAGACTAAGTATTGTAAACTCGT